TAGCTGGGCACGGTGGCAGGCGCCTGTAATCCCAGCTACTCAGGAGGCTGAGGCAGGAGAATCGCTTGAACCAAGGAGGTGGAGATTGCAGTGAGCTGAGATTGAGCCACGCACTGCACTCCAGCCTGGGTGACAGAGTGAGACGCCATCTCAAAAAACAAAACAAAACAAAACAAAACAAAATGCTGGGCGCGGTGGCTCACGCCTGTAATCCCAGCACTTTGCGAGGCCAAAGCAGGCGGATCACCTAAGGTCATGAGTTTGAGACCAGCCTGACCAACAGGGTGAAACCCTGTCTCTAATAAAAATTCTACGAAAAATACAAAATTAGCCAAGCGTGGTGGTGCATGCCTATAATCCTAGCTACTCGGGAGACTGAGGCACAACAATCACTTGAACCCCAGAGGCAGAGGTTGCAGTGAGCCAAGATCGCACCATTGCACTCCAGCCTGGGCAACAAGAGTGAAATTCCGTCTCGAAAAAAAAAAAAGAAAGAAAGAAAAAAGAAAATATAACATGGGAGTTATAAGGTGCAAATAAAATCCTTCAGGTTTATGTGCTGGTTTACTGGTTTCCAGCCTTTCTCCCACACTAGAATGTAAGCTCTGTATGGCCAGGGACCTTATCTTGTTCATTGTTCTCTCCCAAGACCCAGTACATAGTAAGGTCACACTAAAGCCTCCAGTCCAGTGCTGTCTAGCATAGTACCTGGCACAGAGTGGGCACTCAGTAAACGTCAGCCTGCTTCCCCAATAGTCCTGGAAACCCTCAGCCAGCCCGCACAGTGCAAAACTGCCTGCTCTCTGGAGGTTTTCTGACCAAAATGGAATTCCCATGCAGGGTGAGGGTATCTTCCACCCCCAGAGGGCAGAAGAGCAAAGTGGTCCTCTTTCTGCCTAGGGGGAACGGAGGAGGACTTTAGACCACGAATCAGGTTATTTCCCTTCCCCCAGTGCAAGACTTCACTAATCATAACTTTTTTGTTTGTTTGTTTGTTTGTTTTGAGGCAGGGTCTCACTCTCACCCAGGCTGGAGTGCAGTGGTGCGATCCTGGCTCATTGCAGCCACACCCTTATAGGCTCAGGTGATCTTCCCACCCCAGCCTCCCAAGTATCTGGGATGACAGGCACATGCCACCACACCCAGCTAGTTTTTATATTATTTGTAAAGACAAGGTTTCACCATGTTGCCCAGGCTGCCCTTGAACTTCTGGGCTCAAGCGATCAACCAGCCTCAGCCTCCAAAATGCTGGGATTATAGGTGTGAGCCACCACACTCGTCCAACAGCAACTGTTAACTGACTACTTTTTTTGTGTCTGGACTGAGCCTACAATCATCTTCACAGCAGTGTTGTGAAATTGGTGGTGGTGGCCAGGCGCAGTGGCTCATGCCTGTAATCCCAGCACTTTGGGAGGCCGAGGTGGGTGGATTACCCAAGGTCAGGAGTTCGAGACCAGCCTGACCAACATGGCAAAACCCCCATCTCTACTAAAAATTAATACAAAAATTAGCTGGGCGTGGTGGTGGGTGCCTGTAATCCCAGCTACTCAGGGGGCTGAGGCAGGAGAATTGCTTGAACCCCAGAGGCAGAGGTTGCATTGTGCCGAGATTGCGCCATTGCACTCCAGCCTGGGCGACAAGAGCAAAACTCCGTCTCAAAAAAAAAAAAAAAAAAAGGAAGAAAGAAAAAAAAGAGAAATGGTGGTATCCCTTGAATACAGATGTGGAAACTGAGGGTCCACAGCTAGGTCTAAGTGCCTAGCTCAGGGCCTCCCAGTTTATAGGTAAGCAAATGATGGCCAGGAGCAGTGGCTCAGGCCTGTAATCCCTGCACTTTGGGAGGCCGGGGTGGTGGATCACCTGAGGTCAGGAGTTCCAGACCAGCATGACCAACATGGTGAAACCCCGTCTCTACTAAATACAAAAAAATTAGCCGGGCGTGGTGGCACGCGCCTGTAATCCCAGCTGCTTGAGAAGCTGAGGCAGAAGAATTACTTGAACCCGGGAGGCGGCAGTTGCAGGCAGCCAAGATTGCTCCACTGCACTCCAGCCTGGACAACACAGCAAAACTCCGTCTCAAAAAAAAAAAAGAAAAAAAAAAGTAAGCACATGATGGAGCCAGAATTTAAACTCAGGGCCTCTGTCTAAGCTGCCATCTTATAGGCTGTGTTTCCTCTGGCTAGATTTGCCCCTCTCTGGGTCTCAGTTTCCCCCTCTGTAGAACGGGAGCCCCCTGCCCATTGGCTCCACTCCAGCTCCGCAGTTCCACGGCTCTCCCCGGGCATGCCTTTCTACCTCCACAATACTGTCGTCCCAGAAGTCAAGACGCACGGATTTAACTCTGCTGATGTCAGGGAAGTTACGGTGGACACCGCAGCAGTTGAGACAGATGAAGATCCCCAGCTTGTAAGAGGCCCAGTCGGGATCTGCAGGGGGAGAGGTAGGAGAGGAGCTGAGCGGAAAGCGCGGCGAAGAAACCAGGGCTGGGCTCGGGGCGCTGGGGCAGGCGGGTGCCCCTTCTCCCACCTAAGGCGAACTAAGCGGCCAGCCTGACACTTTCTGGTTAGACCACCGGCCGCTGCGCGGCGACCGGGGTGAAGATCCTGGAAGCAGTCCAGGGTGCGGGGAGAGAGTCTGAGGTGGCGCGACGTGGAAGTGACGGGACTCAGAGGGAACCGAGAGGAGGGCGCGGGGGGCGCACCGCGGGACTCGGCGCGGAGCTGCAGGTTGGGAGGCTGAGTCAGGGGGCCCTCGGTGTCAGCGGGGTGGGGCGCTGGGGAGTCCTTCGGGGGGCGTCCGGGAGCGGGCAGGGGGTACAGGACGATAGGGGGCCTGGGCCCGACCTC